ATTTGGATAACGCTTGACGGCTGTCTATAACTGTCAACCGATTACTAGTTCTTAGTGGGCCGAGCAATCACGTGTGCATGCTTGGCAAGCCTAATTGCATAGTTAAACCAACTTCATTCACTGGCAGCGATGGGAAACAATTGAAGGCCACTAAAACGATGATCTGGATTCAATCTTGGTGATTGTCATTGTGCCTTTGGAACAAACGATTTGTTTGTTCAACAAAATACCAGAAATCTGGTGGTATCAAAAAATGTCGGTGGGTCATAGAGAAGTACTGAAAATAAGTTGAGGAATTGTACTGTGCACGCGAATAGAGACATCCAAATAATATTGATCAATCAGCTGGATGCAATTGAAACAAGGAATTATTCCACCGAAGCTAATGTCCAAAATGCAATTTCCAAATCGTTTAAATAGACATCTCTCAGGTAATGGGTAGCAAAAGTTGTTTTTATATTGCACGCTACTGGAAAACAATATTTCACGAATAAACACGAGCATAAACTCACAATAAAAAGAACAGAAAAAACTACATTCATTCATATTTAGTCAATCAAAAGCTCAAAGGAGAAGCATATTAGGAACGACAACCAAGCGATGGTCAGTGACTGATTTGATGAATAATGCATTTTTAGGATACAACTTATCGCAGTTTCTTGGAATCCAGAAAAGGACGGTTAACGCCTGGAGATCACCTAACCGAAACATGTCTCTGTGGTCATAAAAATTCATTTCAAGTCAATAATGGTTTCTAGACAAAGCGAAGTAGCCTGATAAATCAATCAATCGCTAGGTGGGCCGTACGCTTGAGTTTCTTTTGCGAGATTCTCAGTTGGAGCACTCGATACATAATGGGAATGAGATCCAACCAGGTCAAAAAAGCTTTACAGTGTGCTTCTCAGTCTATATTTTCTTTATGAATGAATACTGTAACGGAGACCACCAGAGAAAAAGCGGAGAGGCTAAAGAACTCAGTGGGTGTAAATCAATCAAAATGAACTGGTTTTGCTGGATATCCACCCCTTGGGGTGCCTAAAGCGATCCTTAGACCTGGACGCGACTTAGTTAACGAAACAGCAGTGACTAGGTCAAAGGCGCAACGCGACAGATAAAGGTAGTTTATAGAAAAACAATCGCAGTATTACTGAATTCCAGTAAGATGCCTCCGATTAGGAGCTGCAGTTCAATTTGTCAGTCCGGACAAGTCGTTCAACACAGTGGGGAAAGCCACAACAATGAACTAAAGGGTTGCCAGAAAATGACAAAGGTTGAGCTGGAATGTTCAACCAGTCAGAAAATGCGTCCTGCCTGAAGGTGGTCTGGGAAACAGACAATATGTACGGCTATTTGATGCATTAAAATAGCATGTTCTGTTATCCTAAGCAAACCTCGAAAGTGTTCACGAGCCTATAACGTAGGCCATTGATCTCACTCACAGGCAATACAGACCGACAGAGCCAATGAATTTCGTTTTAGGAAGGCCGTTATGCTAGCGCCCGTTCAAGTCAACCCATCCGAATAAGTTGCTGACTTTTAGGAGAAATTAAATTACGCTTCTAAGGCACGTTTAAAGCTAAAAACAGTTGTGTAATTCGCGGCTGCCACGATCTCCCGAGAACAAGAGTGCACATCCACAAACCGAGGTCAGGCTGTGTAGTATGCAGCACGACTGACCAAACGCGGCATCGATGTGCCAAAAAGATCTGGGGACATGAGACCGGTAATAGATGTAAATTAAGAGGATTATTACCAGTCTGGAAAACCTCGGGAATCAAAAAGAAAAGTGGAATGATTTACCCAAATAATACGTTCCGAATAGATGCAGGGTGGAAAATCAAAGAAAGATGCTAAAATTAAAACATGGTTTGGAAAATTGAAAATTTCCTCAAAGACTTCTGAAAATGTTGCTACAGAACTGGAAAAAATTTCAAACAAGACGCATCACTCCGTATTTACCCCATTATTTCGCCATGATTTGTTGTCAAAGCATTTCCCAAGGCCATTTGTTCTTTTGCTTTGCGACGTTGTTGTTGCATTTTAACGCGATAGAATTCCTCTTCTGTTAAGTGATCCGATGGCGCTGCGATTTGAGCCCGACGTCCGGCTGAGTTTCGACTGTCGATACATCGAACAACCGATCGAGAATCTTCTCGGGGTGCTTCGTGATGAGATGAATTGCGCTTTGGAAGCACAGTGGTGGAGGATCGATTTGATCGTGCGAATAGTGACCGTTGTGTTTTCGATACAGGAGACCTACTGAACTTTGGTTGTTCTACTTTGGACATTGAGAATTTTCCAACGCCGTTCTGTTTGGATACTCTTGATTTGGGTCGACCAGGTCGCATTGAGGTACCCTGGATATAGGTGAGACGGAATAGAAACCATTCAAGCATTCTGAGTTCATTTCATGGAACGATGGAAAGATCAACGTGAATTCCAGTGTTAAAATGATGGACGAGAAGTCAAAAGAATCGGGAACAAAGTTACAAGCAAATATATCCTGGGAGTGAATACATTTATCTGGGAGCAATGACAAAAAATATACCCAAAAACTTTCAGTTCATTTTAGTGCTTCAGACGGAGCATGACGAAAGATATTTCTTCGTCTGCGTCTAACTGGGGACTCTGAAAACATTAGTAACGGATCAAGATGGTGCAAGTAGTGTAGTACCTAAAGCCCCTCCTAGGTAAGACTGTATTCCGGTCAGCAGGCCTTTTGTTTGCATAGCAGGTCTCAAGTTTTATATCAAACAGCGTGTCACCCGAGCAAAAGACCACTGTTTATCATTTTCGTACCCGATCCAACTGGCTGTAGCCTAGATACCAAGGCGAATGTCCGCCCCTCAGACGAATATACCAAGGTTTGAAAGGGATGGTACTGTCAGGGTGATTACATTCAGTTGCTGCAAAAATAATCTGGACTGAGTGGTCATGAGAACACAAGTTACCGAACCGGCTTGTTTCCGGTACTACACCAACCCCCTAAAACTATATCACAATTTATCGTAGACCAAACAATAATCTTTATGCAAAAGAAAAACGTTCCATGATTTGCATGTGAGCCGAATACTGCTAGGTTGATCAGGCCGAGGCAGGTGAATTTTCTTGAGGAATCCACAACCGGAGCCTTCGGCTAACCAAAGTCTGACCCACAAGGCAGTGAAGCGATGTGCGAAAACCGCAGTCCGTCGGGGGCCAGTGTACAGATCATCGGATCA